ACATTCATGAATTTAAGGATACTGTACACCATAACTGCATGAATCTAGAGTTCTAGACAGGAAAAAGGCAAGCCCAGTGACATGAAAGTGACATGAAACATATGCTGTGTGCGTGTGCAGGCTACAGATCACATCCTGAGTTTACAGAAAGTGGTGATTATATACACACAAAATTGCTACTGCAAATAGAAAATTGGATCCCTCCTCTCATAATCGAGCCTCCATCAAAAGATTCGAGACACTGACACATTTTTATCTGCTGGTCTGAACAGACAATTTGTTTTCTAGCATAGTACCGGGTAAAAGAAGAACTCTGTTCAAGTTCCTTTCATGAAACTGAGGTATCTTGACAGCCAGACCTCTAGAGAGAACGACTCGATTCGAGCAAAGCGTTGCTCACTCAAAGTGGAATCCGATACCCTATCTGAGATGCGACATCGCCACATGGGGAGGAAAGGAAGCGGATTTCTGTACATTTAGCATAGACAGTAGCATCACAACAACCTATCGCTTTGGCTACAGGAACACCACCATCAATCTAGATGTGCCATAGACAGACCCGATCCAGAACTCCCAGGGGGTTCTGGACGGGTTTCGGGGAAGTTTCAGCAAGCGAGACATCGCAAGCTCCGAGTATCTTTCCAGAGACTGTTTTGGTTCTGCCCTCCCACTAGCCAGTTAAGCACCCACCATGCGTGCTGGCACTGGTGCAAGGAAGCAACCTGTCTTGACCCCAGTTTCCTGGGCGACTCTTATTTTCGGCATATTGGCACCACTGCTAACAACAACACCATCAATTGTTCCAGTGATTCGGGTCTTTGGTTGAACGTGTTTTCCCCCGATCCAAAGTGCTAGTGATCGTTGCGTCAGCGTCGTATACGAAGATAAGATAACGACACGAATTTTCTAGGATTTTTTCATGTAGTAACTAGTTCAGAGCATTTTTTTTAACTCAGATGTAGTAAAAGCAAAAAACTTGCCAGAATTAGCAGGATTCATCTGCCTAACTAGATTCGGCACAGCCAAGCAGGGCACCTTATGCTCTGCACCTGGCTAGGCAATTTATTTGTTTACTTATTTTCAGGAAATGGATGAGCTTTTATTTCTCTTGGCTTCCTCTGCAAGTAGCCAGGCTAGTGGGGTGACCCAAAGATTCATGAATTTCAGGATATATACACCATGGCTGCTTAATATTGATATTGATCGCACACTATGAATCTAGTCAGGAAAATGGCAGAGCCTAAGTCACATGAAACACATGCTGCGTGCGTGCGTGCGTGTGGAAACTTCAGTGCAGCTCACAATGAACATCAACATCGGAACGGTTCAGAAGGTGGCGAGTGTTGGCCGTACCTGCGATGAGCATGAGTATGTTGACGTCCATGGTGCGCCGCCGGAGCGCGGCGACGCTCCTGAGCACGATCGGCGGCAGGCCCGCGGCCGCCCCCGCCACGGCGAACCACTTGAGCGGCCGCCAGAAGTGCTCGAAGAGCGAGACCACCAGAAGGACCCCGCAAACGAGCACGTAGGGGCTGGGCCATTTGTTGGACACCTTGCTCTGCCCGGCGCCGCCGTACGCCCTCACCGACGCCTCCAGCCTCACCCCGTTCAGCTCCCTCACTGCACCAAAAAAAAAATGATACAGTTCAGAACTTGCAGTTTCAGAGATTATACTGAATAAATAATGGTTACGTAAACAACTGTGAAATCCATAGGGACTTTGCGTGATCCTTCACGTGGTTCGATGTATTCCTCCGTCGCGGCAACTGCAAGTAAACAAAGTTCGAGAATGATTTCCTTTTTTATTAAAGCCCAGAACCCGTACCCCGGAACCCCGGCGACGGTGAAGTTGGCTCACGTCGGCGGTCGGCCAGTTTTAAAATCCAGAACCGTCCAGTCCAGGGCCGTCGTCATCGGAATTTATGAGGCGGCAGGCAGCACGTTACCACTACCAGAAAGACCGGATTAAGGCCTGTTTGGTTTCAAATAAGTCATTAACTTATAAATTAAAAAATAAAAAAATAACTTATTTTGTCAAACAGACCTAACTTATAAGTCACCCTAATTTATAAGTCATAAGTTGCTCCGCCCGAATTTAAAACTTATAAGTTACCCCTTTTACATAGGTCCCGTCACCTTTACATAAAAAATAAGGTGGGAAGATGTGCTCAGGTGACTTATAAGTCAGATGACAACCAAACAAACGTGATTTATAAGTCACTGGTTTTAAGTCACTTTATAAGTCATGTGACTTATTAGAACCAAACAGGGCCTTAGTTTTTCAGTTTTTAATCCAGTTGCAACAGCGCCCCCGGTCTGCTCTGCTGCGGTCCGGGGTCCGGCGACCCCGGCCGCCCTGTCGAGTCAAAATCCAATTAAAAACCGCGGATTACGGGAGAAAAGTTATTGATGAACAGCGAACGCCGGCGGCTTTCACCGGAAACCAAGGAGTAACGGCGAGATAAACGAGGAGCTATGCGTCTGACATGCGAGGAAGAAGACAGTTGGATGATGACCGAGTCACGGGGGCCGGCCGGGCGAGATGGCGGAGGGATCTCGGGGAAAATCGGGAGGGGGGTTGCATGTTGGTGCTTACCTGAATTTTATCACAAGGCTGATGGACTCGCGATGGCACGCCACGTTCGTCCCTGACTTCATCACGGCGCGCATGCTCACCGCCAACGACGGTGAGATCCTCCTTCGCCATGGCGCGCTCCGGATGGTGCTGCTTGACAAGCGAGGCGTGACGGTGGATGCGCGGTACATGGGCGAGGGCGAACGCATCGAGTTCGATCAGGCGATCTCGTTTCCGTGTCATGTGGCTAGGGTTGGACAGCGCATTCAGTCGCCGTGCGCGCCCCCGTTGCATGCGGGGCTCGGTATACAGCGCGCGGAGGAGCGGCATGCAGCGGCTGGATGCGCGACATCTGGCGCGGGGAGAGCTGCCGGATCAGATCCATGGCCGCCCCACCGCCATGCGGGGCCCAGCAATGGCGTCGAGGTACTTAATGGACACCGAGGGGGCGCGGGCACACCCAATTCCCCACCTACCACCACTCCTACCAGATCCGACTCGCATCTCGCCTATCTCTTCGGGCACCTGTGGGAGAGATCTAGGGTTTCCTCCTCTTCCCCACCTCCGCCGCGTGATTCCTTCGACTGGTGGCGTGGCAAGGTCGGCGGCGACGACCGCTCCTTTGCGCAAGTCGCAGAGGGCTCGAAGATCCGTCTCGATCTGTCCAAGGCGATGGGGGATCAAGGCGGGGGGCGATTTGGAGGGCGGCGCGACTTCGCTGGCCGTGGTGGGTTCGGGGGTGGACGCCGACCACCGCCACCCAACCAGACGCGCAACATGGTGTGGCAGCGGCCAGATCTATCGTCGGCCGCGGCCGAGAGTTCCAGATCCGCGGGCGGCGGGGTTGGCGACAAGTGGGAGGCGGCGGCGCGGGCGATGGGAGGAGGGGCCAAGGAGTGGGAGACTCAGAAGATGGCGGCCCCCAAGGATGCGAATCCTCCCCCTGCTGCTGATTCGACCACAACTCCGGCCACCAAGAGCTCCGAGGAGCGATGCCTCAACTGCAACAACTCAGGTCATTTCACTCCGTGTTGCCCTACTATTCGTTGCGAGAAATGCAACAAGCTTGGTCATATGGCTCAGTTGTGCCAATCACTCAGGCCGTGGGAGTGTGTTCCTATGCTGTGCGGGTTTCAATCACCCGGCCAGGGCTTCTTCTATATTCCTGATTTGTGTGCTACTAAACAGAGTTCTGAGAAAACTAATAATGTAGTTATCACGGTCATAGAGGGGGCTGCTACTATGAAAGAGATAGAACATGAATTCAACTGCATTTTTGCTCATAAACCTGGCAAGAAAAAATGGCGCTGTACTGCTCATTCCATTAGTCCAACTCAATTTGTCATGTGGTTCCCGAATGCCAGTGAAGTAGAAAGAGCATGTTGCTATGGTAAACGTCTTCCTTTGAAGGATGGTTCTATCATTGTGTGCATTACTCCATGGTCTGCATCTGTGGGGGCTAAAGGGAGTATGGAAAAAGCATGGGTTCGTGTTAGAAATGTTCCACTGGAAAAAAGATGCCCGGAGCATGTTGCATATGCTGGGGGCTGGTTGGTATTACTTTGGAAGTGGATGAGGCAACATTACACAAACCTGAGTATGCCAGGATATTGCTTGGATGCAGAGAGGTTAAGAAAATTCCTCCTTCCACTGAAGGGATGTTAGGTGAACAATTCTATGATTTTTTCTATGAGGTTGAGAAGGTGGTATCTGCTGGGGGAGAGAAAAATCAAACCTCCATTGCTGTTGATAGTGGTGCATCCCCATCAGTCCCAAAAAAAGCTAGGGTGGACTCATGCCCAGCTTCCTCTATGGAGCAAGGGGATACTGATGCATCTATGGTGGGGAATCAGTCATCGCAGAACTATGATAAGAATTATCAGAGATTAGCTATTGTGTCTGAGAATGAGGAAGAGGAGGACAATGACAAAGGGAATCATACTGAGCTGCTTATTGAATCTATGGCCAGAGAGCATGATAAAAGAAATGTGTCATATTACGATTCCCCAGTCAACAACACGGCTGCTGGGAACATTGGTGATGAGATGAGTTGTGAGGATGGGGGTATGCCGCCTGCCAAAAAAGGTGCTTGGGAAATTATCCAAACCCATGTTCCTCCTTCTCCCATGTTTTTGCCTCATTATGAAAATTCTCATGGGCCTGTGTATCCTCCCTTGTTAGATTATGTGAGCTGGCCCTCTCTGCCTCATATAGTCCCTCTTGAAGAAGGTTCAACAGAGGGGGGAGGGGATTGCAGTGCTTACACTGTTGAATCGCCCACTGGGTCTCCTCTCAGGGACGTGGTGATGTCTGAAGAATTGACTTCACGAAGGCAGTTTGAGAAGCTGGAAAAGATGGAGGACAGGGCTACTAATAGAATGAAGAAGCGTGACCTTGAAGGTAAAAATATGCTCAACACAAAAAATCAATTCTCTGTGTTATCTAATACTGAAATTGTCGTGCGTGCTTCCCTTATGGGAGTACAAATTCCTGATGACAACTTTGATACTGTTGATGTTATCCGTGAGCTAGAAATATCTAGGAATTTACTCCTAGACAAGAAAAATGAAAGAGATCCCCCCCAAGATTGTTATTAATGATGGGTTGGGCAACAGTGTTCCACTATCCTTAACTTGGGAAGAAGATAAAGATGAGGAGGAAGAACCTTTCATTCTTGTCCAATCCAAACAAAAAAAGAAAAGAAACCAGCGAAGACGAACAGTGGTCATTTCGCCACATAAAGACCATGTTAGACCCATGACTAGAAGTCAGAAGAAGGAGGGGGAGGGTAGGGCTGCTAAGAATCATGGCAGACCTACCAGGGTGAGAGATAAACCTGATCGTTATAAATGATTGGCCTTTTTTGAAATTGTAGGGGGGCAGGTAAGAAGGGCATGTCTACCTGTCTCACTGATTTGATTAATGCCAATGAGGTGGACTTCATTGGGTTACAGGAAACTATGAAGAGTAGTTATACTCCTTCTTTTTTTAGAAAATTGGATCCACACCAAAGATTTATGTGGGAATGGAATCCTTCTAGGGGGAAATCTGGGGGCATCCGTTGTGGAGTCAATAGGGATAAGTTTGACATCATAGAAGTGAAGCATGGGAGGTACATTTTGCAAGTTAATCTCCTTGATAAGAGCAAAAGTTGCAGTTGGGCCCTGCTGGTAGTTTATGGGGCAGCTCAGGATGAGAACAAACCGGAGTTTATAACAGAGATGTCATCTATGTGCCACAAAACCTCTGTTCCTTATATAGTTGGTGGAGATTTTAACATCCTTCGTCACAGTGGAGAGAAGAACAAAAAAACTCCTTTGTCTCATTTCTCTGATGTCTTTAACTCAGTTATACACCTGCTGGGGCTAAGAGAGATTCATATGTTAGGAGGCTGTTACACTTGGTCGAACAAACAGGAGCACCCTACTTTGGAAAAGCTGGATAGAGTTTTAATGTCTTCAGACTGGGAGGACCTTTATCCTCTTGTTTCTGTTAAAAAATTAGTCAAGGAGATCTCTGACCATAATCCCTTACTCCTGGATGGGGGGGGTGGCTTCTCCTAGAACCCCTGGTAGTAGATGTTTTAAATTTGATAACGCCTGGTTGAACAATCCTGAGTTTCTTCCTCTAGTAGCTGCAATTTGGGCGCAGCCTGTTTACACTAGTGATCCTATTGATGTGTTAAATATCAAGTTGAAAAGAATTAAGAAATTCTTCAAAGGATGGGGATCAAACATTTTTGGTCGGAATAAGATCAGGAAAAACCTTATCAGACTCGAGCTTCAGGAGCTGGAGAATATGGAAGAAGAAAATGACCTGTGTGGGGAAGCCTATACTAGGAAGTTGAATATCCTAGTAGAACTTAATGACATGTATACCGAGGAAGAGACCCATTGGCACCAGTTTTCGAGTGGGAGATGGCTCCTAAAAGGGGACAACAACACTGGCTTCTTTCACAAGGTAGCCAATGGGCGTCGTAGGAAAAATTCCATGGTTTCATTGGAGTGTGGTTCTGTGGTTATAGAAGGGACCAAAAACCTGCTATCCCATGCTACCAATTACTACAGAGAGTTGTTTGGACCAGCCCCTGGCAACATTTGCCAAATCGATGCTTCATTATGGTCCCAGGATGAAAACATCATGCCTGAGGATAATGAGTACCTGACCCGCCCTTTCTCTCTTGAGGAAATCAAGACAGCATTGTTTGCGATGAAACCTAATCGCGCTCCTGGACCGGACAATATTCCTGCAGAATTCTATCAACATTGCTGGGACGTTGTGAGTCCGGAGTTGTTCAATCTCTTTGAGTGGTTCTATGAGGGAAAATTAGATGTTCAACGCTTGAACTATGGGGTTATCACATTACTCCCTAAATCTGCGGAGGCAAACAGAATACAGCAATATCGACCTATTTGCTTGCTGCGGTGCCCGTACAAATTGATCACGAAAGTTATGGATCTTAGAGCTGCGAAGGTTGCTAACAAAATCTTTAGCATCCAGCAGAATGCTTTCATTAAGGGGAGACACATTGTGGATGGCATTCTATCCTTGCATGAGGTACTGCACTATACTCATATAAAAAAGGATGTGGGAGTAATATTTAAGATTGACTTGGAGAAAGCTTATGACAAAGTCAACTGGGAGTTCCTACTGGATTGTCATGTTAAATGGGGTTTTAACTCAAAATGGTGCGGGTGGGTGGCTCAAATCCTTAGGAATGGCACGGTTAGTGTTTAAGATCAATGATGAGATAGGACCCTATATCCAGAGCGCTAAGGGGGTGAGACAAGGTGACCCACATTCTCCGTTCCTTTTTAATCTTGCGGCAGAATGCCTGACTAAGATGGTCATTTCAGCCCAAAAAAATAATCTCACTAAGGGGCTAGCTTCTGGGCTGATAGAAGGAGGGGTAGGCATCCTTCAGTACGCGGACGATACTGTCCTGTGCTTTGAACATGATGTTGACAAAGCTGTCAACATCAAGCTGTTGTTGTATCTTTTCGAACTCATGTCTGGTTTAAAAATTAACTATGATAAGAGCGAAGTGTTTGTGGTGGGAGGGGATAATGACACGGACAGTATATATGCTGATCTGTTTGGCTGTCGTGTGGGATCTTTACCTATGAAATATTTGGGAGTTCCAGTTACATATTCCGCTCTTAAGAACATTGAGTTGGATTCCCTGGATGTTAAAATGGTTAAGAAATTGGATGCATGGGTAGCATATGCAGCCTCCTCTGGTGCTCGGCTCACCCTGCTTGACTCCAGTTTGGATGGTATCCCATCTTACTTGATGTCGATGTTTCTTTTTAACAAAACCTTTATAGAAAAGATAAACAAACATCGCAGACGTTTCTTTTGGAGGAGGAGGAATAAGAAGCGAGCTTATCATATGGTTAAATGGGCTAGAATTTGCCGATCGAAAAATATTGGTGGCTTGGGTATAAAAGACCTTCACAAACAAAATATCAGCCTGCTTGTGAAGTGGTGGTGGAAGCTGGAAACTGGTGATGGGCTATGGCAGCACATCATCCGTGCAAGATATTTCAGAAACAAAACGGTCGCGAACATTCGCAGTCGTTTCTCTGATTCTCCCTATTGGAAATCTATCATGAAGGTCAAAGATGTTTATATGGCCGGGAGAAAAGTCAACATTAACAAGGGGGACCTGGCAAGGGTTTGGCACGACCCATGGGTGGATAATGGTATCCTGCGAGAACGCTTCCCTGTTTTGTATGACATCTGTCAAGATCAAGACTGTACTGTTGCCTCCTTTGTAGACAATGACTATAATCTTCCCTTCAGACGTAGGCTTTTTGGAGAGCTGGAGGAACAATGGAATTGGATGGTGTGTGAGGCTAAGAAGATGCCTCTGAATGAGAATCCTAATGCTATCTCCTGGTCCCTGAATAGTGGAGGTAGATTCACCACTAAATCTGTATATAAATGGCTGGAGAGAGATCTATCTGGCCCTAATTATAAATGGGTGTGGAAAGCGGCAATCCCGTTGAAAATAAAAATATTTCTATGGCAATTATTCCAAGATGCTGTTCTCACGCGCGATAACATGCGGCGGAGGAATTGGCCAGGAAATCCTGTGTGCTCTTTTTGTACTAATGTGGAAACTGCTAACCATCTTTTTTTCGCTTGCCCTCTCGCCCGCACAGTTTGGGGGGTGCTGGGGTTGACTGTTGGGGCTTCCTGTGCTCCCAAATCAATCTGACAAAGTCTGGCTTGGATGTACAATTTGCTTCCTGGAGGCAAAAAATTCTATACGATGATCATTGCTGCAGTGTGCTGGGGGATTTGGTGCCTTCGCAACAAAACTACTTTTGATAAGTATAATGCTCGTTCTCCGCTGGAGGCTGTCTTCACCGCTTGCTCTTTTATGTTATACTGGGCAGGGCTGCTTAAGGAGGATGACAGGAGGAAATTCCAGGATGGTGTGAAGAGGCTGGCTCATGTGGCAGCGGCACTGGCGGACAGGCCTTATGCGCGTGGCAGGCTTCTTCTGGGAGATGAAGATGGCATACAGATTGGTTAGATCATGTTAGTCTCCATCTTAGCTTGGCCTATATCCACTAGGGTTTGATGCCCGCTGGATTGCTCTTTTTGGTGTTGGTGGTCCTATCCTTTCAAGTTTAGCCTCTAGTCAGGTTAAGTCTATAGCGAACTTTGGTTGATTGTGTCGTCAGGTTTTCGCCCCACGGCTGATAGTCCGTTACAGGGCTATCATGCAGTGGGTTTCCTGGCGATGCACCAACCCGCTCTCCCCTTTCAGTCTCCTTTGCTTGGTAGTTGGCCTTATTCGGCTCGATGCTCATTTTGCGATACTCTCCAAAAACAGTAACAGACTGATGTATTTTCGTTGATTGCAAAATTAATGGAAAGGGGTGTGAGCCCGGTTGGAAAAAAATGTTGGTGCTTACCAATCTGGGCGGTGGAGATGGCGGCGGCGTCGTGGAGGACGATGACGGTCCGGGAGGGCACGACGACGGTGACCTTGTGCACGCCGGCGAGCGGCTCCAGCAGCTTCTCCACCAGCGGCACCTCCGACGGGCAGCAGATGCCCAGCACGTCGAAGTAGCTCTTCTCCAGCCTGCCTGCCGCCGGCGCCGGCGCCGCCGAGTCCCCCATCGCTCCCTCTCCGTACACTTGCTCGCTCCCGCTTCTTTGCGCGCCTCTCTCACCTGCCCGTGCCTCCCTCCCTCTGCCTGCGCGCGACACGGCGGCAAGAAGCCAAGAAGAGTTAGCGGGGGCGGAGCGGAGCAGAGCAATCTTGGCGTGCGGTGTTGGTGGTGGTGTATGATGTATGGTGGTAGGTTCGGAGGCGCCTCTAGAGATTTAATATCCCTGGACTGGACTCCGCGCGCCCGCCATTAACTGTGCCGGCCCACCTACCTCGCGACGGCCGGGAGCGCGGAGCGGGGGAAGAAGGAGACGAGGAGGAGGATGATGGCGATGCAGTGGCAGGTGAGGGGAGGGGGGCGGG